TGCACCAGCAAAGTCCAAGAGCTATCAGATATGGGGTACACAACCCCGGAATCCAACCACTTGATCTCCTCCTTTTTCACAACTTCTTACATTGCCTCGTTCAACCTCCTTTGATGTTTCAAGGAGACCTTTGCATCATCTTCCAGAATAATCTTGTGCATACAGAATGCGGGGTTATCCCCCGAATATCAGCTAGAGTCCATCCAATTGCCTTTTTCGCTTTTGAAGCAATGCCAATGTGGCATCAACCTGCATGTTACATTGCCTCGTTCAACCTCCTTTGATGTTCCAAGGAGACCTTTGCATCATCTTCCAGAATAATCTTGTGCATACAGAATGCGGGGCTTATCCCCTGAATATCAGCTAGAGTCCATCCAATTTCCTTTTTCCGCTTTTGAAGCACCGCCAATGTGGCATCAACCTGCATGTTAGTGAGACAAGAGAAAATTATAACTGGCAAAGTAGAACTAGGGCCTAAGAACTCATACCTGAGGTGTGGAAATGGTTTCAACTCCAACACCGGAGGCTCCACAATTGATGGTTTTGTTGGTGGAGGCTTCCTATTCTTGAGATCTAGATAGAGTTTCCTAGGCTCATAAGAGTAAGAGCTCGTTCCATGTAAAGCAATCACACACTCCACTCTGCTCTCATTATCATTGACATCACGATTCAACAATACGGCCTCCAATGGGTCCTCCACATTGATCATTGCACTGGTGTCATCAACTATCACTGTTGTGACAAGGTCTACAAAAGAGCACACCTCGGTGCTATTGGGCTGCTTCATTGACTTGCACACATGAAAGACCACTTTTTCATCACCCACCCGGAAGGTGAGTTCCCCTGCTTCCACAACAACTAAGGCCTTCCCCGTGGTAAGGAAAGGTCTCCCCAACATGATAGGAACTTCATAATCTACCTCATAATCCAAGATCACAAAGTCAGCTGGCAAGATAAATTTATCCACCCGAACGAGCATATCATCAATAATACCCAATGGTCTCTTCATCGTTCTATCCGCCATTTGCAATCTTATAGAAGTCGGTCTAGGTTTCCCAATACCCAAAGTTTTGAAAACTGAGTAGGGCATCAAATTGATACTAGCCTGCAAGGAATGGTGAAAGCACCGGGATCTTTAAGCTTCGGGGCCATTGAATGCACTATTGCACTAACTTGGTGAGTCATCTTTATAGTTTCATAATCCATAGACTGCTTCTTTGTCACCAAGTCCTTCATGAATTTAGCATAGCCCGACATTTGTTTAAGAGCCTCCACCAAAGGAACATTAATGGATAAGCTCTTCATCTTGTCAATGAACTTTTTAAAGTGATTCTCATTTTTCTGCTTCGCGATCCTTTGAGGATAAGGTGGAGGTGGCCTTGGAAAAGGAGCCTTGGCTTTAGGCACAACCGGCTCCGGCATGTCTATTATGTGTTCCCTAGACGGGTTCACATCATTTTGAGTTTCCACCTCGGCATATTGAACATCAATCCTCACTTCTTCATTCACATTCTCATCAATCACATTTTCAACCACCAAAGGAACTTCATCTTCTTGCAACTCAACATCATCACTCAAAACTTGCTTTTGTTTGGAGGCATTCACATCACCGCCTCGTCCACTCCTTGTAGTTACCGCCATAACATGATTGTTCCCACCCTTCGGTTCACTACCGTATCACTTGGTAGAGCACCCTTAGGGCGAGTATTTAAGGACTATGAGATTTGGCCCAACTGAACCTCCAATTCCGAATCGAAGTATTGTGGGAAGACAACTGAGCATCAGAATCCGCACTCTATTTCATCATCTGTTCGAACATCATTACAATTTTCCCCATATCATTGCTAGAAGAACTAGGACCTTGAGATGGAAATGGGGTGGATTGTTCGGTTGTTGGTACATTGGCGGCCTTTGAAATCCTTGCCCCCGGTTTCCTTGGTTTCCATTGTTCCATCTACCTTGATTGTTGTTACCACCCCAATTGTTATTATCATTCCAATTTCCTTGATTGTTTTGATTGTTGCTCTGATTGCCCTAGTTGTTGTTTTAGTTGTTGTTCCTCCAATTACCACTGCATTGTTGTTGTTGATTGTCCCAGTTGCCTTGGGGTCTCCATTGTTGTTGGTTGGAAGAATTGCCCCTTTGGCCTTGATAATTATTCACATACTGCACCTCTTCACTCTGTCCATCAAAACCATCATCTTGAAATCCACCACAATTATTGTCAAATTGCTCTGAATTCCCTTGGTTTTGTTAACCTCGTTGTCTTCTTTTGTTGACTAACATGTTGACACCCTCCATAGCATTTACTTGGCGAGGATTTTGAACGTGTTGCAATTGTGCCTTTACTAGTTGGTTCATTGTATTTGTCAACTCAACTATAGCCTGCCCATGATCATGTAACTCCTTGTGCAAATAAGTGACCATGGGGTCACCATAGGGCACATTGGCTCTACTTTACAATGCAGAAGAAGTGTCAGTCATCTCGTCAAGTATGTCACAAGCCTCATCATAAGATAGTTTCATAAAGTTTCCCCCAGCAAGTTGGTTCACTATGCATTGGTTTGTTGTGTTAATGTCACGGTAAAAGGTTTGTTGGATCATCACCTCGGTCATATCATTGTTGGGGCATTCCTTCACCACTGTTCTATAACACTCTCAAATCTTATGCAAAGGTTCTGTGGACTCTTTCTTGAACGCCAAGATCTCATCTCTTAATGCAGCCATATGCCCCGGTGAGAAAGATTTTGCAATGAACTTATCCGCTAACTCATCCCAAGTAGTGATGGAATGGTTGGGAAGTCACTAAATCCAATCAAATGCCTTTCTTCTAAATGAAAATGGGAAGAGTCTCAACCGAAGAGCATCCTCCGACACATTAGTTTGATTACTCCCCCAAAAGGTATCCACGAACCCCTTGAGATGTTTGTAAGCATTTTGATTTGCAGCACCCGTGAATTACCCACGCTGCTCTAGCAAAGTCAGCATCACATTGGTTATTTGAAAATTGCCCGTCCGGATCCGTAGTGGGACAATTGCACTTGCATAGCCTTGGTTTGGAAGCACTCTAGGAGCCACTCTTGGAGGTAGCGGGGGAGGGTCTTGAAAATTATCATTGGCCTGGCGGCCTCTCCTTTGTCCTTGAGGCACAATAGGGACCTCATCTTCAACATTGTCATCTACTTCCTCCTCCGGCGGAAGATCTCCAAAAGGTGCATTATTTAAGTTTGCTGCCATTTTGTACCTAAAGTTGTGACACAAACAAATTAGTAACACAGAAGGAAAGAAGAACAATACACAAAACTATTTAGATAGATAGCCAAAATCGTTAGCTCCCCGCCAGCAGCACCAAAAAGTGATCGAAGCCAACCCTGCACTACTATTGAGTAGCGAGAGAGGTCGAAGTAGCTTTTACCCGATTAAGGTTGGGATCAATTTCCACGGGGAGCTAGATATTGGAGTCGGGTGTCTATCTTAATGAGAGATGCATGTTTGCTCCAAATTGCACTTCTACACATTTTTGGTTTTGATTATGATTCTAATTTTATAAAACTATAATGCTCAATTAAACTAAAATAAGCTAAGCTTAAACTATTGCGAGTTGTTCAAATGATTAAAAAGGCACTATGGTAGTGACTTTTGCCTAGGTGGTCAATTGACAGATTCTTGAGTCTAAAGCTAGATCGTCACATTTGGGGAGTATGATATAACCATTGCACGATTCTACTCACTCTATACCTCTCGGTAGTTCAAGTGATTTTGCACGAAGTGACTTTCTCAAGACCAATTGGGTATGAAAATGTTCACAAGCAATCAAGGTTCAAGTCGGGTATTACTATCTCTAGGTTTAACCCTTTAATTGGGGCTGTCAATCTCTTGAGTACGCTCCAATTCCTTGTTGGACCAATTTCAGAAACTTAGACTCTCTTTCTCAAGAAGAGCCAAAGTCAACTAAATACAAACTAGTGTTTGCAACCACTAATTCAGCAATTAAACATGAAATTAGTTCAAATATCAAACACCCATAGACAATCAAGCATCAAAACACAAGACTCATCAATTACCCACACTAGGGTTGAGCCATAACCCTAGCTTATGGGTCTAGCTACTCATAATTAGAGAAGAAAACAAAGGAATAGATGCCACACCTCTTTTTTACACACCCGGAGGTATAATGGAGTTTTTCCAATTAAAGTGACATAATCGAAATGGGATTATTTATTTCAAATTTAGAGTAGCTACTTAGAATATTTTAATTGGTGTCCCAAGTCACCTATTTATTTTAAAATCCCAAATCGAGGAAATTTTATTTTTTTACAGAGTCTGCGAACGAAAAATTCTAGATAAGGAATTCTGTTAATCCGAGAGAAGGTGTTAGGCATTCTCGGGTTCCGTAGTTATAGCACGGTCGCTTAGCAATTTATATTTGGCTTAGTTGTTTAACTACTAATTTTTAAAACCTAATATGCAATTATCTTTTACCGCTTTTAATCACCTGATTTTTGTAATTAAAGAATTGAGTTGCGCGTACGTATACTCTTTTCCTTTAGCGCGTCAAAAATCATGTCACACAAACATGTCCACAACTAATAACGCTTTGTTTATTTTATTAAGAAAATTTTGGTTGAAGTTGCGCGAACGCATCCCTCGAGCTACTTTTAGAATTAAATTCGCAATCATATTACGCGAACGTATACATAATTGCAATACTAATCTAAATCGAGCCTAAAGCAAACTATGATTGTTCACATGGAAGGTGGATTATAGTACTGAAAACAATTTGTAACTTTACTTTATAACTTCCATGATAAAGCTGCAAACCTGGATCATGCACGAGATTCAAAAGAACAGCAACGGAATGCATGAAAACGCACAATTGATACCAAGGTGGAAAAACTGAAGCTAATTATCAACATGATTACTATTCGGCTAACTACTTTGCCTTTAGGTACATGTGCAGCACAAGCTGCAACTTTTCTTTTATAAAAAAGGTGTGATGGTGAACAGGAAAATCTTATTCATTTTTTTTTTCATAAAGGGGCTACTGAGATCTACCACATGCTCCAAAGACCAACTTCATCAAGCATTTAACATCAATTTACAAATTACATGGTAAACGAATAAAATAGTCCGACAAAGTGTCGAAGTGAAGAATATATAAGTAGGTTTCATAGCACTTAGAACATCCGACAGTACAATTATATGACTGGAATTAAACCAAAATTAGTTGCCGATGTAAACAACCAAAATGTTTGTCCCAAGATTCATGCCATCATATGCCTAGTGTCTTGCCTTTGTAGTGTTTTATTTTCTTTATTCATTTTTGAACAAATAAAGAAATAGAGCTAAAAAAAAGAAAAAAAACAAGATTAGTAGATAACATTACATACCAAAAGATCAATTTTCCAAAGCAACCAAGTATTATACACTACTGACTCGTTCTTTCATTCCACGAGCAAACAAATTGAAAGGTGGCGTACTTGTCTTACTAAAAGGGGCTAAACGTACACAATTAACAGATCTGGAAATATGCCTTTGCATATAGATCATTTCAAAGTAGAAATCACATAGCACAACTCAAACAAATGTGTTCAAACAGAAATATGTTGAAGCACTAACAAAATTGGTCATTCAACTCATTTTACTTGCAACTTGGACATTAACAATAAGACAATGAAAGAAAACACACATGAGACTTAATAATTATATCTCACAAATTTCAGCGACTACACACATTTGAAAGTTCTCAATAGTATGAATCGTACCTCTACAAGCAAGAAACAAAAAGAAGCTAGGAAGCTCAGCAAAGCTCGGCGCAAGCAAAAATCAGCAGTAACAGCAGCAGACAGCAACGATTTCTAGCACCTCAAACTCCAGAATATCCATTCTCAGCTGACTCGCATGTCAACACCTCATTTCAAATCGGCAACAAACTCAAAGGAAACCCCCAAAAATCGAAACAACCAACAGCATATTCAAATGATCATGGAAGTTCTATCTATCCCGCTCTTTCTTCTTTGTTTTCTCTTCTTTTTTTTTGGAAATTCCTCTGTTTTCTTACTCTCGGATCCGAGAATCAAAATGTTTGAAATCAGCCTTTTGTTTCATCTCTTGGGAAGGGGTTTAAATCCGTGTGAGATTGATAGCGCAAAGGAGTGTATGGCTTCAGATGAGAGAATGGAGAAGAGATGGGAAGGCTAGGTTTTTTAGATGGGTGATGGCTGATGTGTGTGTTTTCAGAAATGAAGACGAAGGAGAAGGGCCTCGATTTTCGCAGCGCTGATTCCTCCTTTTGTGATAGGTATTGATTTTCGTCTTTAATGAGGTAGAAAAATGGGAGTCAAATGGGTCGTGAATTGCGGCTCCTCCTAGGTCTTAGAGTCTAAATCCATCTTTGTATTTTTCTCCTTATTTTTGAAGACAAGCGGCGGATTTGATGGTTTTTATGTGTAGTTTTATTTTAGGTGTTAAATACTATTATATAGGGGTAGGGATTAGGTTAGGGGTATGGGCCTAGAAATTATGGGCTTGAGAATTATGGGCTAGGTCCAAAATTAGGCCTAAATAAAATATTTACGTGCTAAAATATGAAAAATCTTTGGGAGGGTCAAAAATCACATGTCTATAGCTGCCCCTCTTTGACTGGAAACGCGAAGAGTTTTCAGACAAAGAATGACTAGACAGGATTTTTGACCCGACCCTTATTTAGAGAGGCCAAAATCTAAAGAAAGGAGAATGTGACTGAGCCCTAGTATCTAAGCTGCCTACATATCCTTGGCTATAAAGGAATCAGGTCACGTGTAGTTCAGAAGTGAATGAGGTGATGGAGTACTGAGGTTTAGAGCCGAGAGAGGTGTCGTTGAGGTTCCGATCCGTGGTCCCATTATTATATCAAAATCAAAAAGACTAACTAAGCCTATTAGCTAGAAATTACAAGATTCCTATCTATGAGTCTTCTGAAGCTTGATCTTGAGTCTTAGTTGGTTCTTCATGCGGACTCTGATTTGAATCTTGATGCTTATTAGCTGCAGGTGTTGGTTCCCTCTTCTTCAGCTTTTCGGATCAAGGTGGGACATGCGAAACTTGTGACTACAATTAAATTTTGAGTAGTCCGCATCTTTTCCCGCTTTGAGTTCACTTCTTTTTCTTTTTCTTCTTTTTTCTTTATTCTGGATTGAGACTCATTCTTTTGGTCGTCTCGAACCCTGTGCCTCGAGGTAAAACCTGCTCAGACACCAAAAAAAACGAACGAAATTTTTCTGCCCCAATTTTCACTAGGAAATTTCGTGAGTTTTTATAATAAAATCTAAACTACTTCTTTATTGAAAGCAATAAAATCAGGATTGTGTTTCTTTGGGAAAAAGAGATTAGGGAGTGGAGCCATGTATTTATAATGAAATCAACTAGGGAGTGAAGACCCTATGTTGGAAAAGCGACTATGGAGTGGAGACCCTATGTCTAAAATAAAATCAACTACGGAGTGAAGACCCTATATTGGAAAAGCAGACTAGGGAGTGGAGACCCTATGTCTAAAATAAAATCAACTAGGGGGTGGAGACACTATGTTGGAAAGCTCAACGAGGGATTAGTGTACCCTATACTGGAAAGCTCAGCTAGGGATTGGTGTACCCTACACTGGTAAGGAGAATAGGGAGTGATGACCCTATATCTGTAACTTGGGGTTGGAACCCTGTATTACGGAAAAGGGATGTAACTGGGGATTGGTGCCTTGTATTACTTGAAAAGGAAATGTAACCAGGGGTTGACACCGGGGGTTGGTGCCTTGTTAAGTTGCGAAAACTAAGAATGGGTGAAGTGTGCTTCTACCCGAAAATATTTTTGAGCTACATAAAAATAACCTTAGAGAAGAGTACTTCTACCCGGAACAATGGAGCTGGATCCCCCTAGGCAAAAAGGTTCTACCTGGGTTAAGCTGCGTAAAAACAACCTGAGCGAAGAGTACTTCTACCCGGAACTATGAGCTGGATCTCCCTAGGTAAAAAGGTTCTACCTAGGTTAAGCTATGTAAAACAACTTGAGCGAAGAGTACTTCTACTTGGAACTATGAGCTGGATCCCCCTAGGTGAAAAGGTTCTATTTGAGTTAAGCTACGTAAAAATAACCTGAGCAGGAGTACTACTACCCGAAACTATGAGCTGGATCCCCCTAGGTGAAATGGTTCTACCTGGAAACCTGGTTTAAGCTATGTAAAACAACCTGAGCGAAGAGTACTTCTACCCAGAACTATGAGTTGGATCCCTCTAGGCAAAAAAGGTTCTACCTGGGTTAAGCTACGTAAAAACAACCTGAGCGAAGAGTGCTTCTACGCGTAACTATAAGCTGGATCCCCCTAGGTGAAAAGGTTCTACCTGGGTTAAGCTATGTAAAACAACCTGAGCAA